GAATCACAAAAAAATCATTTACAAGTGATAAAAAAATTTTGATTCTTCAGTATTAAAGTAATAAAATTCTAAGATACATTATAAAAAATTCTGATCATTAGACACAAAAAGATTTAAAGCACAGTATTACTGTAAAAATTTGAAATGATTAGTCATTGCCAAAAGAATTAAAAGATACTATCATATTTTTTTTTATGATTTTTTATTTCTTATATTTATTTATATTAAGATTACCATTATATATTATTATGTGAAGTAGGAGAAGTAAGAATAGCAGTTAATAATCTTAATTGATTGTTTTTATAATATTATATTGTTTACTAATATAATATATTTTGTTAATGTATTATTTGCTAATATAATAAATGTATAATAAATAAAATTGAAGAAGTCATATAAAATATTAGTCATATGATTTTAGGGATTAATACTATAGCGATAAATTACAAAACTCTTATTTTTAATATTTTTAATAAAAAAATATATATACTGGAAATTTGACAAAATTATTATTGAGTTTAATTTTTTTTGCTGACTTCTTTTTTTAACAATTTATAATCTTTTATATTCTCTTACTTTTGATTTATCTTTAATTAGTAATACATTAAGAAAGTCTTTGAATAACTTAAATATTAATAATTTTAAAATGACTGCGCTAAATCATGTAAAAAATAAATCAGTTAGAAAGCCAAAAAATCAAAGATTTATTTATTTTTTATTTATGAAAATTTAATACAAAATACATTTCCCATTTTTTCAATTATAAGCCTATAATACTTCTTTATTGATTTTACTAAATTTGCTAGAATGCTTTCTGAGATTTTTTCCTATTTCTTCTTTTAATTTATTTAAATTTTTTGGCCACCATTTTTAACATTTCTCTTAATAATACTCCATAAATTTTCTATAGGATTTAAATCAAGACTATTAGAAGACTAATTTATTACTATCAGAGTATTTTTTCTAAAAATACTTTAACCACTTTACTTTTATGCTTGGAATCATTGTTATGTTAAAACTGCTAATGACTTCTAAGCTTTTTTTTTAATTTTAGGAAAATGTTTTCAACATAAAATGAACTATCAATTATCCTTTGAAAACAAAAATAACTTGTCCTCTCTTTTACCCAAAACCCATTCTAAACTAACATTTTTTTATCTTTTAGAATTCATTGTATTAGCTGTTCATCTTTATACTAATATTTTACATATTTCTAAACAACTGAAAAAGTTTCATCAGAAAATACTGTTCAGTTCATTATTATTGAAGTATTTTTCTGCCCACTTTACATGTTTTTGTATATGCTCTTTAGTAAGTATAGATATTACTACTGCTTAATTTTTTTTATAAACAAGTTAGCTTATATGATTCCAAATGATTACATGAGAGATCTGAAGTTTTTTTTTAATAATTTAGTGATTAGCACTTTTGATGATATTACAAGATTCTTTTTTACTTCTCAAACTAATATTTTAGAGCTTTCAGAAGAGATTTTTAGAGAGCGATTACTATACTTTTAGTGAGTTACGCTTCATTTTTTATTTAATTTGAAAATGTTATAATATATAATAGACCTTAAAAAATCTGTTTATTTTCTAATTTCCTTTGCATTTTGTATTTCTCTATCTCATAATTTTTGCATATACATCTTAATAAACATTTATATTTCATTTAATTCTAAAAAAATGTGATAATAAGTTTAACATACTACAAAGAAAAAAAAGATTAATTTGATAATCAATAAATACTATTTTGGTTAAGTTACAGTTTAAAGACTTTCTTAATGTACTGTATATAATTATATTAATCAAAAATTTTGTATATGTATGACTATATAACAAAACCTTCAGTATAAGCACACCCTTTTATTATCACACTATTAGATAGTCTTAAAGGATATGACTATAGGGGAGGATGACTATATTAAAAATAGTAATTGAATCTTTAATAAAATTTATGAAATTAGTGTTAATCAAAATTAAAGAAAAAGATTTTAATTTTTTCCTAAAATCACTTTTTATAACAAGAAATAAACTTGATTTAAAAAACTAATTTCAGTCTTTTGTATTTTATTTGAAATACTATAAGTTTTATGATAAACATTAAATGAAAAACTTTTATCAATATAATATTTTAATAATTATAAAATATTATATTGATCTTTTTAATTCATAATACTATTAGTTATATTTATGTCAAAAACTTTTATTTCAACAAATAAAATTATTAGATAGTTTAGTTATAAATTAACTTAAATTGATATATCTATTTGCTAGAATTAATAATCAATTGAAAATGATATTTTATCAATTTGATTTTGAAATTTCTTTAAGATATAACAAATATTGATAATATCTCAATTAATATTTATGATAGAAAAGTATAAAATTTATTCAAGAATAATGATTTAACCATTTTTTCTAACCTGAAGTAGCAGATAACATAATGCATAATATATGAGTAATATATGCAACTATTTGTAATTTATTATAAAATATTTGATTTAATATAAAAACTTGTTTATTGCCTGAGCTGAATGAAATTAGTTTACAAATTATTAACTATTATTTAATAATGATCATAAATGAATTGAAGATACTTTAGAATAGTATAAGTATAAATTATTTTAGATGTTTATAAAGAAAGAAAGTTTATACAGCCTTAATTTTAGTTTTATATAATATTCTGACTATTAGAAAAGTATATTAATATGTTATAACATTACATTAATTTCTTGTCACTGATATCAAAAATATACTAATTATAAAGATAATTAATATAGTGGCTATTACTTATAAATGATATTAATATTAGGTAATTTTAAAATTTTATAAGTTAAAAAAAAGTAATGAAATATTATTTTTACGAATTTCATGTGAAAAATCAAGAAATTGCAACTTTAATAAATATGGTTTAACAATTTTTTTTATATAAAGAGTTATTTTGTAAACTTGAGATAAAAATACCTATATTGATTTTTGTTCTTTAATAAAATTGTAATTTTTGTTTGTATATTAATATCAAAGAGAAATTTATCATAATGAATTAAAAATTAATGCAAATGATAAACCTTTTTAATTTTTCTGATTTTACTTATTTTTTCATATTTTTTCATATTTAAATTAATTAATCAATGACACGTCTATTATATTTCACATCTTGATTAATTAATAATAATGACTCATCCATCAAAATAAAAAACTAAAGTTAGAAAACAAGAATGAGATAATAAGGGAAAGTTTTCAAAAAATTAAAGTTAGTTGATAAATTAAAGCAAACTGATAAATTTGATGAGTGGGAAGATGATGATAACAGTGGATGGGATGATGATATTAGCTAATTAGATGAAAATGAACCTTTTAAGTTAGCTTAGTCAGATAATATATGTTTTGAAAAGAAAAAATGTGAACCTTACTTTGTTGAAAAGATTAAGAAATCGACATATTTTGATAAGTATAGACCAAGTGGCTCTTTTACAAAAGCTGCAAAAGGAACTACAAATATTTTAATACTCATAAAAAAACATCAATTAACTCCAATTAATTTTGAAAAAGTTTTGAATGACATATAAAATGAAGAACAAAATTTGCTCAATCTTAATGAAAAATTAATATTTTGAAAATTGAGCTTAAAGAATAGCAAAAATTATTGATTCTAACTGAATATAATAAAAAATGAGCAATATTAGAATATTTTACAAGATTAGATAATAATGAAAAAGAAAAAATAAAGGCCAGTATGAAAGCTACACAATTTGTTTTTATTGAAAGTGAACTATATAAAGTAAAATCTATTAGATATTAGGCAAATTATTAGCTCAAATATGATCGTCTTTTAATAAGTCATCAAGGTAAACATAAAAAAACAATATGATTAATAGATGATGAGGATATAGCAGAAGAGTGTCATATCTGGATTTATGCTCAAGGTAGAATAATTACACCACTAAATTTAAAGAATTTATTGAAGATAAATTACTTGTTAATTCTAGAATAATAAAAAAAATCAATTAATATGAAAACTGCAACATGTTAGTTAAATATACTTGGTTATTTTTTTCAATCTCAAAAACAAGGTAAGATATTTATTAATTTATATAATAAAACAATTAAATATTATGTACTATTTTAATAATATAATAATAGGCATATATTATGATGGTCATGAGCATCCAGATGTTATAAAATATCATCAAATATTTTAGATAAAATTTATAGTTATGAAAAGAATATGGCAAAGTATGAAGGAGAAAATATAGAACGGAAACCTCCAATATTAGAACTTAATAATAAGAAAATAATACCTGTAACATATAATGAATGTATATTTTACTTAAATGATAAAAAATGAGGAGTATATGCAAAGTCCAAAGAATTATTATTGCATAAGAAAGAAAATAGATGTTCAATAATATTAGTGAATTTTTATTAGAGAAATGTGATTGACTTAAATTAAATGCACAATAACATCAAGAAAATCCTTTATACCTAAAAAAGCATGTATTTATCTCCAATCGGGTAAAGACAGAAAAGGTTTTTAGACAAGTAAACATTTAATAGAATAAGTAAAAATAAAGACCATTCCCATTTTTGAAACAATTTTTTCTAATTATATTGCATTATTTATATTTGACAATAGTTCAAACTATGCAGCATTTAAATTTGATTCTTTTATAATTAGTAAAATGAACTTAAAACCTGAAGGTAAGTAACTGAAAATGAGAAAAACAATCTTTAGATCAAATAATCAATATTAATTAATAGAAGACCCATTAATTTAATCGACAAAAATTTTGCCAATGATCATTTTACCAATATGATCATTATACTGACAACCTCATTTTACTGACATGATCAATTTACTGATATAATTATTTTACTAATATGATCATTTACCGATAACCAAATATTAATTATTTAAGGATAGCCCCTATTTAACGTAGATCAAACAACTCTTCTCTTTTCTATTTTTTACTTTACTATTTTTATCTAACTTTCTCAATGAATAATATTATCTGTGAAGTTATGCTTTCTATTTGTAATAAAGATAAACTTAATATTCATAGTTATCTTATGATTAAAGACAAAAATTGAAAAAATTTATATTACTGGTCTTGTGAAAAATGTAATTTACTATAATATCATGAGCAGGCAACTACTAAATTTATTGAAGATTAACATTATTTTCAACATACTTCTAATCACAATCATACCGCAGAAGCCAGTCAGTTTAACATTATAAAAACTATTAATGTATTAAAAGAGCATGCACAACAAACTAATGATAAACCTGTACAAATTATTCAATCTACAATAACTGATACTTCACAAGAAGTATATCCATACTTTTCATCTCATAATGCATTTCGTCAATCTATTAGAAGAATTAGAAATATGAATTTACCTGCAGTATCAGAATCTTTAAGAGACCTTGTTATTCATAAAAATTTAAAAAAAACCTTAGATAGTTCTGATTTTTTAGTCAAAGATTCTATAGTGGGTAATAACAGAATATTGCTTTTTATAACTATTGCTAATGCTAGATACTTGAAAAAGTTTTCTTTTTGGATTATAGATGGAATTTTCAAAACGGTACCAACTATTTTTAAACAATTATATACTATTCATGGATGTATTGAAGAAAATGAAAATTCACGAATTATGCCTCTTGTTTATGCATTAATGTCAAGCAAATCTGGGGAGTGTTATAGAAAATTATTTCAGGATTTAATTGATTTTAGTAATGAACAGAATATTGATCTGCAACCATAATTTGTTTTGACAGATTTTGAAAAAGCTGCTATTAATGCTATCCATACAGAATTTCAAGATATTCAAAATAAAGAATGCCATTTTCATTTAGCTCAAAGCATTTATCGTAAAGTACAAGCTTTTAGACTTACTACTCAATATAGAACTGATGAAACTTCGACATATTCCTGCACTTACCTTTTTACTTCCTGAAGATATTCCAGCAGCATTTGATGAATTGAAAATTAATATGCCAGTTGAAGCTTATAAAATTATGGAATAGTTTGAAAATTATTATGTTTATGGTAAGGTAAGACGTACATTAAGAAATGGAAATATAGTTAGATCTATACCATTATTTCCATCTTTACTTTGGTCAGTTACTGATAATGTTAAATATGCTTTTCCTCAAACTCAAAATCTGTAAAAGCTTAATATTGAAGATAGGAAATATTAGTTAAAAGTGCACATATAAATGTATTTAAAATGATGAAAGAAATGCAAAATGAACAAAAACAAGTTTAATTTTATACAGAATCAATTTTGTGAAGAATAGCACAACCTTTACAAAAAAGGTAGGATCATAATCGTAAAACTCAAATTCAAACAGTGTATAATGGCCATCATAATAGATTACTTATGATTTTCTTAGAGAAATTGCACATAATATTTCATTTTAAATAGTTTATTAAACTATTTTTTTTCTTTTATATAATACATCTATTTAATATTAATAAAAAATATTAATTTATATGCTTTATAAAGTTCATAAAGATTAATGGTAATAATAAAATAATTGTCAGAATCAGTCAAATGAATGTGTCAATCAAATGAATATGTCA